TATTTAGACCCCTCTACCAAGAAATTTGTCTTGCATGCACACGTATAAAAATTGCGGTTTTTATCCAACGCAATCATAGGTTTGAACGTTGTTTTCAATTTAGACTTCTTTATATGTTTTCGTTTGGGCTTTTAGTAGGTCGAACAACTGCTGTTCTTAAACCCTGCTGACTGTCATTGGCGATCGTCAAATAAACGGATCACAAGATGTAACAAAATAGATCTTATTATTTATTTATTACCAAACAGAAAACAATAAACTTGCGCAAAAGATGGCATACCGCAAACATGAGGTGCAAAAATTTGTACACCATATCCGGATTTCGACAATTAATGTCTTTTCAGTGATGTTAGGAATCGAAACGGTATTTGGAGGGCCATATAATTTACCTCAATTTAGGATAGACTCTTGAATTTTGAAAGAGTCAAAATAGGATGAACGGATCATATAAACTCGAAGGCAAATAAAATACAAGCCCAAACGAAAAAATATAAACACGTCTAAATTATTTCTGTATAATTTAATTTTGGAAGTAACACGTCTTCTGATTGGCTGAAGTTTTTGTCTATCAGCTCATAGACATAATTTTGTCATGTCACGGACCGTGACGTCGTCAACGTATTTTCATGATTTACTCCTTGAAATGGAATTTAGAATTGAATTATAAGGAACACTAATCAACCAATCAACTAATCAACATGTCTATTCGAAATAACCTTAAAAATGTGGTGCACACTTTTAAATAACCCGCTACACAGGTTATTCAGTGTGCACCACATTTTTATGTTATTTCTTCATAGATAGAAAAAATATTTCAGTCATTCCTTAGGGATACATAAATCGAATTACGTATTTACAGAAATAATTATGTAGATACGTAAATAAGTATTTTAACCCTGATTCCGCGCCATAGATATCGGAACACAGTCCGTTTGACTTTGTCTAGTATCTTAATTAAGTTCAAAATGTTAATTTCTTATGCATATCAATCAACTTTGTTGATTTTTTTCCTGAATCTTTTTGGACTAGTTGAACTATATGGAGATTCGAAGTGTTCCAGTGGCGTATACAATCAAGCGAAAAAATTGAGACGTTGACACGCGAGGAATTTATTCCGATAGTAACATTTCAAATAAATTTTACACATAACACCTACAGCCTGCTATCTTCATCAATTACTACATAAAGGGAAATGATAAAATAAAATATTGTTACAAATTTTTTATTATTACAGCTTACCCGAGTTTATAGTCTATAGCGTCCTCGCAGAGAACATGAAAAACATTAAAGATTTCAATTTATGAGTGTTTGGAAAGACGTACTTTTTAGCCAATATATATTTCTCACTGGTATTATATAGTTCTATACTTGAAGTGCATTAAGGGAAATTGTATGATAACTTTGTTAATATTATCTGTTTATTCATTTTTCAATATAAAATGACTATATGCAGATTGAATAATCCGATCTGACATTGGTGATATTCAAGTATGAAAAAGATGTCATTCACTACATGTATATCCATTATGCAGAGCTTACCAGCTCCAACTCAATGGATTAAATTCTACTCCTGAACCACCCTTTGAGAAAGTATTGAACAGTAGAGTAATCAAAATACTAAACAAATTGACAAAATCGATACCTCTGTTAATGTATTTTTTTATTTTTTTTTTAAAAGCCTTTTATAGAATACAAGGGAACAGTCTATGGTGACATCATACTAGTATAATCGTGTAGTGGACAGAAAAACTATAGTGTTTCATACTCGTTAAACACATTATGTAATTTACCAACTGGCAATTGCCCAAGTTTGCATAATGTCAACAATTGATTTTAAGTGGCGAGTTACGTTTGCACGAATTTGTCCTCCGTTTTCCACACTTGCGCGAAATTTTCCTGTTGAAAAGTTAAATCGTTTGCGCGAATACATAACATTTTTTTTATTAGTAAATAACTGAAAATTCTTCGACTGAAATAGAAAAGTTGTTTAAACACGGCCAAGATTTGTGATTGCAAATTCTTCCAGCGGAGAAAGTTTAGGGCAGGTTTGAAGATGGTTTAATTTCAAATGATACTGAGAATGAAAGCCGCAAACAATTTGCCAGCTACTAAGTTGAAAATTACTTCAGGAGTGAGTCTATTATACCGCCAGGAATATGGACGACTGTTCCAACCGAAAGCACAAAACGTACAAACAATGCTCAGACTCTTTTTACAGTTAGGACTGACTTATACACTGTTCCTGCCGAGATTGCATCCTGTTTTTTATTCCAGAATATGGTTTTTAAACTTAGAATGTTTCTTTCCAGGAAATACATACTTGTTTTTATTCGAAACTTTGCTGTTCGACGTACATGTAGTGCTTTTAATGTTTATAAAAACGAATAAAGACTCCTTTGAGTATATACATTAAGTTCGGGTTATCCTAAGGATAAAAACCCAGGTAAATTCGCGCAAACGTAAAACCATTTGTTCACGCAAACATAATACCTGTCAAAATTCAAATTCGCGCAAATGAAGGTCGTCTATTTTAGATATGGATAAGAGATTATCAAGTGTAAAATAAGTACGATGTTTTATTCGTTGAAAATATACGGTTGATGCGATTGTCATGAGACCTTTGATCATTATGTTGTCTTTTATCAACACTATTCGAGATACCACTAGAACATATTTTAGATATTTTCCCTTGCCTCATGAAATTGTCATTTAGACTGAGAGGAAAAGTTATCTGTAGTCGTTTATTTCAAACCAGTTCGCAAATTGTACAGGAATCATTAATAAAACCTTTAAAAACATTATCTTTTGCCCAAAATTCACAAAGACAGTAACCCGGGGATCCGTATTGTTTCAGCGAACGGTCATCTAACTGAAATCATTTCTGAATTTGTTAAAATTGTTGAAGATTTACCTTCTCACATCAAAGACAAAACTGATAATCTGAGAATAATTGTACACACAAAACTTCTCTCTGTGGATTTTACCTCCCAGTCTACACGTATATTCTACACACAGATGGTATTCATGCACGTAGAATTGTTTTGGATTCCCGACGAGTTGAATAAGAATGGACCTATATATATAGGCAAATAAGGGGAAAATCAACTCCTTCAATCCTCGATCGAAAAAACGCTTTCCTGTTTAAATTCAATCAAGATCATGTGGATATGAAATGGAATAAAAGTGACGAGGATTAAGACACATTTATCCGACTCGTGCCAATAACATGCATCCCAGTTTAAAGTTTATTCAGAGATATACGAGATATCTAGATTAAACCGAATATGTCTCGGCAACACAGAAACAATCAAAAATCCTTATTTTATTAAAAAAAAATAAAAAAAGTTTTTAGAAAGCGGAAAATATCGCAGCGAGCAAACTGTTATGATACAATGATAAAAAAAAATAACTTGAAGGACTCCATATGTTCTAACTTGCCACACATCTTTAAAAACAGCATCGGTGTCATTCGTAAGCATCGGAATATCAGTTGAAAAAAATCCCAAACTATCCGAGATCTTTCCTGAGCTTCCCCCACCCCCATGATAGCCTTCAAGAAATCAAACAGTATGAGAATTATGTCGGTGCGAACTTAAGTATATACACCAAGTATTGCATTGTGGAAATGCCGTTCATGTGGTGAAAAACGCTGCAACTGTTACACACTGATGCATAATTCATCACCATTTGTCAGTAAGGCCACCCGAATGAACAGTAAAATATTTCGCAATGTGACCTGCCAAAGTTCGAATGCTATTTACATTGAAACCGGGATGTTCGATTTGTGGCTATTCAGTTTCTACAAACGCCCTAATTATAGCATTAATAGGAGATAAATCAATTAGAAGCTATGGAAGTTCTAGTGATTGAACTAAACATTCACAGGAATGATGCCCAGCGAGAGGATCTGGGAAGAATCTGGCTAAAAGAACTAAATGTGATCATTCATCCAAATGGCCTCAACTGGAACTTGAAGAAATTGACCTTTTCGTTTGTAGATTTATGTATGTTTACAGGAAATACTTACTATAGTTACTACCTTTTAACATCTTGGGGTGTCGACAGGTATACGCTGCCAAGTCTACATACAATTGAGTCACTTTTTTATGACGTTCAAAATTAATTAGATTATATACAACTTAACTCCCAATTTTAAATTGTATTAGCTGAGCTCATTTAAAACACAAAAAAAACTCATATTTTGGTATTGCATTTTGAGAAAATATTGACATATACTGAAGACGGCTTTTTGTTGAGCCGAAATATTTGTCAATACGATTTTATTTCATCTAGTTCGTATATATTTTATCGTATTATTTATATCTTATATGTCTTTTATATCAGAATCGCTGCACAAATTTGAAGACTTCACATATTATTTATATACACATTTTTTGTAGGGATTGAACTTTGTAATTGTATTTGTAAAATACAAATACCATATGCTCTGTTTGTTCATATAAGTTGTAGTCTTTTGTTTTTCTCACCAAAACATGCAAAAATCAATCGACCTCTTAGTTTCGATATCAAAGACCTATATTTATACATTTTCGCCGAATTTTGTTTTGTTTACATTTCGAAGAACTACACGTGGTTTCACTTTCGAATTTTGTTAAAAGATGTTTGATTGGTCATTTATTAAAACATTGTCCAATCAAAATTAACTTGTCAAAACAAGCAGTAATGCGTCAAAACCTGGAAATTCCCTTTCCCGACATTTCCAAGAACAGCTCGATCTAGGAAATAACAGACCAGTTTACCAAGGCACTTTGTAACGTAAGTTATATCCGGTGTCATGTGTGAGAGCATTTGTCAGCAAAACAATGTGAACACAGTAAATTATATTGCACAAAGACATGCGCCGTTGATAAAATCATATGCATGTCAATGTCTAGGTCTAAAACATATTGCAAAATCACAAATCTAAGAAATGTTTTGCATTTTTTTCTATTTATACTCTATTAAAAATATGTCATATGTACCCACAAATACCATTGCTGCTAGGTTTTTCCACAGGAAGTTTGTTAAGTGTGTTAGATATACTCATCTCTAGATGAAACTTACTGATAAATATTAAAATTATTAATATTTAGAGGACATTTGTAATTTTCTATATCTATAGGAATAACAGATATTTCATTTGTGAAGTGTTTGAGCTTGCTGAATGTCATGACCTTGTCCCAAATTTATTTAAATGTTGTGTTCGCTGACAAATTCTGTGCAAATCATGCATGATAAAACTATGCAAAATGAGTAAAAATTCAAAAAGGAATAAATTGCAATCTGAAGTAAATACATTGGAGATGGAGGAGTGTAATATAACACCAAAAATAGAACGACAAACCAGTGCTGAATATGCCAGAAATATGGATACAGCACAGTACGTGACACTTGAAAATGTTTCTTCTAATGAAATTAATGTTGGTCATGGTGTGCTGGCACCAAAATGTAAAAAGGTTGGAATATATTATTTTTAACATTCTCAAATAACACTATTTTTTAAGTTACATTAATGATTTTACAGGCACTTGTGTTTACATTGTAAATTGAAAGTTCAATTACATGAATACCTTGACAAACTGTAGAATATGTATGTGCATGCTCAGATCTTGCCACTAAGCATTTTCCCCCAATAACATGCAATGACATGAACAGCTTATAGATTTTGAACCACTTTGAAAACTTTTACAAATTACATATATTTCCAAAAAAGTTTACTAATTCAGGTCAATGGAAAATCCTAATGAATTTATTCACAACTTTATTCTGAAAACTAAGGTCTATGTATCAGGCATGGGGTAATGCAAATTTGTAATTGTAATGCATGGTAATGCATTACATTTTTCCAAGTAATTACATGTAATGTGTAATGCAGCAATTTTTGCATTACTTGTAATTGTAATATAATGCATTACTTGAGAAAAAAGTTGTGTAATTTCATGCATTACATTGCATTACATGGCATTACTTTTTTCACATACATTGTACTATATATCTTTCACAGATTATTGGAGGATCAGCTAAAGCAGAATTTAAGATTTCTGGATTAATTAAGAACATAATCATTTGGATATTGCTTTCTTTTTTAATCTGAAAAACATTACTATTAAAGTATTTTATTGTTGTTCAAACATCAATGAATACCTTGTCATGATTAAATAACAGAAAATTTACCATTGTCATAAACACTAATTAGTTTGTTTGACAATCAATCTTTTCACCATTTTTACACTTGCTTGGAAATTAAGCTCTTTGTTTATTATATAATTAGGAATGAAATTCTCAGTAAATATTTTTGATTGGAATTAATAAAACAAATGTATATTTATAAATGCAAAGTTTACATTAGTTACAATTAATATTAAACTTCATCTCTTTAATTTTTGTTTAAAGATGGAAAACACAGAGATGTATACCTTGAACCCTTATGATGTAAACATATAAGTGTTGTATTGAACAGACTTTTTACTTGTTACTTAAATTTAATAGGTATACGGAACAATTATTGCATATGCTAGAATCTTTTGTGACTTCATGTTGTTTTTCAAAATGTTTGATTTTTTATACGACCGCAAAAAATTTTTTGTGGTCGTATATTGGTATGACGTCGTCGTCGTCGTCCGAAGACACAATTAGTTTTCACACTCTAACTTTATTTTAAGTGAATGGATCTCAATGAAATTTTACCATAAGGATCAATACCACAAAAGGAAGGTGGGGATTGATTTTGGGGGTTATGGTACCCACAGTTAAGGAATTAGGGGCCAAAAAGGGGCCAAAAATAAGCATTTTTGTAACTTCCAGACATAACTTGTGTGTAAGTGTATGGATCTCTCTGACATTGTATCACAAGGTTCTATATCACAAAGGGAATGCTGGGATTGATTTTGGGGGTAATTGCCTCCAAATTTTATGAAGTAGGGGCCAAAAAAGGGCAAAAAACAAGCATTTTTCTAGTTTCATGACAATAACTTGTGTTCAAATATATGGATCTCTCTGACATTGTATCACAAGGTTCCATATCACAAAGGGACTGCTGGGATTGATTTTGGGGGTAATTGCCTCCAAATTTTAGGAATTAGGGGCCAAAAAGGGGCAAAAAACAAGCATTTTTCTAGTTTCAGGACAATAACTTGTTTGTAAGTGTATGGATCTTTATGAAATTGTACTACAAGGTTCCATATTACAAAGGGAAAGCTGGAATTGAGTTTGGGGGTAATTGCCCTAAACGTTTAGGAATAAGGGGCCAAAAAGGGGCATTTTATTATTTTATGAAATTAAGGAGATGTGGCATGATTGCCAGTGAGACAATATATAAACAGCTTGTATATCTGTGAGTGACCTCTTACAACAGTAAATCAATTAGGAATCTGTGGGTGACTTGTTGAAACAGTAACTCAATGATGGATCTGTGAGTGACCTCTTGAAACAGTAAATCAATGAGGAATCTGTGGGTGACTTGTTAAAACAATAACTCAATGAGGGTTCTGTGAGTGACCTCTTGAAACAATAAATCAATGAGGGATCAGTGTGACTTGTTGAAACAGTAACTCAATGATGGATCTGTGAGTGACCTCTTGAAACAGTAAATCAATGAGGGATCTGTGGGTGATTTGATGAAACAGTAACTCAATGAGGGATCTCTGAGTGACCTCTTGAAACAGTAACTCAATGAGGGATCTGTGGGTGACCTGTTGAAACAGTAACTCAATGAGGGATCTGTATGACCTGATGAAACAGTAACTCAATGAGGGATCTGTAGGTGACTTGATGAAACAGTAACTCAATGAGGGATATGTAAGTGACCTCTTGAAACAGTAACTCAATGAGGGATCTGTGGGTGACCTGTTGAAACAGTAACTCAATGAGGAATCTGTGGGTGACTTGATGAAACAGTAACTCGATGAAGGTTCAGGATCTGTGGGTGACCTGTTGAAACAGTAACTCAATGAGGGATCTGTGAGTGACCTGTTTAAAATGTAACCCAATTAGGGATCATAGTGACCTGTTGAAACAGTAACTCAATGAGGGATCTGTGGGTGACTTGATGAAACAGTAACTCAATGAGGGACATGTGGGTGACCTGTTGAAACAGTAACTCAATGAGGGATCTGTGAGTGATCTGTTTAGACAGTAACCCAATTAGGGATCATAGTGACCTGATAAAACAGTAACTCAATAAGGAATTAGTGTAACCTGTTGAAATAGTAACTCAATAAGGGATCTGTGGGTGACCTGTAGTAACAGTAACTCAGTGAGGGATATGTGGGTGACCTGTTGAAACAGTAACTCAATGGGGAATCTGTGGGTGACCTGTTGAAACAGTAACTCAGTGAAGGATCTATGGGTGACCTGTTGAAACAATAACTCAATGATGGATCTGTGAGTGACCTGTTTAAATAATCACTCAATTAGGGATCTGTGTGACCTGTTGAAACAGTAACTCAATAAGGGATCTGTGGGCGACCTGTTGAGACAGTAACTCAATAAGGGATCTGTGGGTGATTTGATGAAACAGTAACTTAATGAGGGATCTGTAGGTGACTTGATGAAACAGTAACTCAATGAGGGATCTGTGTGACCTGTTGAACAGTAACTCAATGAGGGATCTGTGTGACCTGATGAAACAGTAATTCAATTAGGGATCTATGGGTGACCTGTTGAAACAATAACTCAATGAGGGATCTGTGAGTCACCTGTTGAAACAGTAATGCAATAAAGGATCTGTGTGAAAAGGTAAAAATTTCACTTCCTATCCAACATGCAATTTATTTTCAGTTGCAGTCCTTATTTTAAAATACCCTACTCAACCATGTTGATCCTTTACAAGAATCTACATAAACCTTATTGGTTCAGTGTTGTTATCTTTTGAATATGTGTAATATATAGATATAGATGTAGTCTCTAATACAGAATGCTGTTCCTAGTTAAGTGAGCCAAATTTAAATAGGTTAAATTTTTCGAAGTCCATTGGACTTGTGATATTCTCTCAGGAAATAATAACTCTTAATAGCTCTTTGAAAGAATATGTAATTGTCTGTTACAACAAATTGAAATATCTTCCCATTGAATAATTATTTTTGAAACAAAATCCTAATGCATGTGATAAAGTTTTCTCTACGGAAAATGAATAATCTAAATAGATTAGAATAATTAGGTTTTACTTTCTGTTTGAGGTAAAGGTGAGTTTGCTGAAAACCATTACTTTTGTTATGAAATATTTTATATGAACCTTCATAAACAGGATAAAACTCATTCTGACAGTGTGTAAACAACAATGACCTCGTTACCATGGATAAAATAAAATAATGTGTTTAGATTTTATAATATTCCTTAGTGTATTTGTAGCTTTATTCAAACATAACAATAATTTTGTTTAAGTCAGGGTTATAAAATTGACTCAAACATATTGCTATTGCAGTCAAATCGTCCAACTGAGTATTTTAACTTTTTTTGGAAAATTATATTTATCCTAAGAAATAGATAAACATCCAGCCCATCTGTTCCAGGGACTAAACATATCAAAGCCATCTATTTGCTGATTTTCAGTATTTGAAATGACCACTTGACCTGTTTGAGTATACTTCAATGTTGAATGTAGGTTTGTTATGTAGATTTGTTAATTGATTTGAATTGTGTATACTTACACATTAAATCCAAATATATTGTTCATATTTTCTTTGAAACAGAATTGAAATACCTAAGTCCTGAGCTTAAAAAAAGAGAAACCTGTGTGTCATGTTGGTTCCCTTTCCTTACTTTTTGATATTTGAACTTGTTTTCTCTCTCTCTCTCTCTCTGTTCATGTTTTTATTTGTTAGTTTAAACATATTTTATTTGCTAAATATCATCAAAATGGATGAGACACAAGTAAATCATACTTATGAAGTCTTCTCCATATTACAATACGAGTATATATACAATAATAACATTATGAGCATGCATGTAAAGCAAACAAATTCATTAAATATTATACGAACTATAAATAAAAAGAAGAAAAGATCAAGAAGAATGGAAAAGAGGAAAAGAAAAAGAAGCAAATCATGTTTTCTGCGATGATGACTTTTATTTGTTTTTATTTGTTATGGATCTAAATATTTTTCAGTCAACCATTGTACTATTTAAATGAAATAATTACTTTAAATACCCCAAATATTTTAAGTTAAAATTGACTGAATATTTTGAAATGTTATATATTTATTCTTATAATATGGGTATGTCTTCTTTCCCAGAAATGTTTATTGACCTTGTTAAATCTAGGTCAATGACACAATACTAATTACACCTATATCATCAAAGTGAATATCTTTAGATGACAACACACACATAATGAACAAGTAATGCAAATGAAATTTTATAAGTCGATATATATGTATAAATATATCAGCAGGGTTTAAGAACATCAGTTGTTCGACCTGCTAGTCAAATGCGTTTTGTTAAAATATACTTTTTCACT